GTCTCTGATTGAAAAGGGAAATTGGCATTCAGATGCAAGGAAGTGTGTACTTGCAAAACTCACCGAATCAGAGGGAAACTGCTCTGAATGGGAAGGACATAGTAAAAAAGAAGGGGATAATTATGAAGAAGGTGAAGACGAAGAAAGAAAAGAAGTGGTGGATGATAATGAAGAATGCAATGAAAGAGATGAACAATGAACAGAAAGAAATTTACAGCATAGTGTGCTATAGGGGTCACAATAATATATCTGTTTTGTTGGGAGGGTGGTCTAAACGTTTTCTTATTGTTTGTAATTAATCTTGCCAGCCTCCCCCCTCCCCCTTCCCCCAGGCAGAAATGATGAATGGTCCCTCAGTGGCAAGGATAATCTTCCAAGCCCAGTTATGGCTAGGTAAAAAAAAATATTAACCCTTAATTTAATTATGTTAGCCCCCTAAAAGGCCATCCCTTACGAAAATAATGCCTATTTATATGTTATTTTATCCCTATTATTTTTGTATTTTTTTTTCCCTAGACTATTTTATAGCATCTTTTTATGTATTTTAAACCCATTATTTTGAAAAAAAAAATAGCAGAAAATAGTCCGGAGTGCTGACCAAACTTCAGTAAATTAGCTTTAAAATAGCCTTACAGTAGTGAATAATGTCAATGCAAGTTGAGGGGAAAATAGTATTAAAATAGTATGAATGAAACAAGTTAAAAATAAAATATGCTGAAAATAGCCTTAAAATAGTAATAAAGCAGGGATAAAATTGGGATGATGAGGAAAATACCTTGGAAAACAGACTGAAAATAGCTTAAAATAGACATAAAACAGGCTTAAAATAGCTTTAAAACAGCCTTTTTAACAGGGTTAAAATAGCTTTAAAATAGACATAAAACAGGGCTAGAATAGTTTTAAAATAGTAGCAAAACAGAGATAAAATTGGGATTAGAGGAAAATACCTCGGAAAACAGGCTGAAAATGGCTTTAAACTAGACATAAAACAGGGTTAAAATAGCTTTAAAATAGCCTTCTAACAGGGTTAAAAAAATAGCACGAGACCATTTAGCCATTGAACAATGAGATTTAAGAAATTGCAAATTGTGGCATGTGCAAAAATAGCAATGTTATCTGTAATGCAATAAAGCCAGGTCAAAGGCCCAGAATTATAAAAAACAGTGACACTAAATTAAGAAGTAAATGGCAATCTAAATAAAGTAATAGCTAGCACCAAAATACAATGACTCGTCAACATTTGAAACCTTCCATATTTACACTTGTAAAAACTATCACTAAGATTTTTGTCCAGTATCCAAGGGAGGAGGCCCACACCAGATCAAAGACTAGTTGGAACATCTTGTTTCTGTTCATAATTTATTTTATTTGCTAAAATTGAGGGATTTCTTTATGTGCCATGCAGATTTAAGCTTATACTGATATCTTTGTTCAAAATTCAAAGTTGCAAGCTTCGCACTCACGTCAAGACTGCAGTGCATTTCCTATGAGGTCCAACAGATTATGGTGGAAATATATATAATGAAGGTGTCATCACTCGTGTTTGTGAATTTTTTTTCACTTAGCTTTTTAACCATGTAGTTCTGTTGGCGAATCTATACTTCAAGCTTTTCTGCTTCAATAACTAGAACAGAAGCACACAACATGTGATTAAAATCAGATCATAAGGTGTTCTGTTTGACCTCTGAAGGCAACTGCTCATAACAGAAACACGATTTTAGATCAACCTCTATGACAAGTTTTAAATTGTTTTTGGTTTAAGTAATGACTGTAATACAGGAAAGCTGAAATGGACAGGAAGAAAGACCCAAGAGAGACAATGATCATGCAAAGATCCAAAACTCTGCAGCATGTGGCCTGCAAGATCGAGTTTAGTGATAAATATCAGTGGAGTACTGACATCAAAAACACCATCTTTAGTCTTAATCCAGAAGCCTTGTGATTCTTTATACTTACAATTTCTTGTAGAGCCAAAAGATCCAGATTTTGTGGCTTTCAAACATCTTCAAACTTTCAATCGTTCTTTGACTGTTGAAACGCGCGTCTTTCTCAAAGCATTGCATCATGGGTTATAGCACTAGTTCCCAGGGTCTTATCAACATTCAAATCCAAGATGGCGGCTCATGCATTCCACAGAAGAAATTAACTCGGCTTTTTGCTGAATTTAGATGCCTGATACAGGCTGGAAAGTGTTCAGACATCATTTGCAGAAGATTACAATTATCCCAAGTAATTTTACTCTCACAGAGTTAAAACTATCTACTTGTGAGAAGCATGAAATGCATGGTACTGTTCGTGAAAAGAAGTCTTACTTTACGTGGCATGCGGTTGTCATCTCTCTCTTTCAACCTTCTGTATTCCTAAAAGTAAACTAACCGTTTTGTAATGTATGTTTCTAAAGGAATACCGAATGTCAACATAAACAGTTGATTCAAGCTTCTCACATGCCAGATTTCCATAAGTCAAACTTACATCATTAAGCCTCTACTGTTGTTTGAACATTTAAACTGATGGAATAATT